CATTTTTACAGTTTCTCCATAAGAATAAATTGTTAATAGACCAGCAAATTAAACTCACAATCGGAACTATTATATCTTCCTTCCCGGTATTCTGCAAGAACGTAAACGACAGCAATCCGATGCTTTGTGTTGTGCTACAAGGCAAAAAAATATATATAAACATCGATAAATATAATCGCCCCATATTTCGATTGTCATTAAAAAATCGGAAAAAAAAAAGAAAAGAAAAGAAAAAGAAAAGTACCTTAGCCCGTACTTGCCCCGACAGCGCGAGAAAACAATCACGTCTGCTCCGAGCCTCATGCTACTAGTCTTGAAACCATTTCCATCTGTCGAAATGAAACGAAATATTTGTTGATGTCATTATAATTAATTTATTATAGATGAATGATGTATTCGTAAAAGAATGTACAGCAGCGACTTGTCGAAAATTCAACCAATTTTCGACAGGTAGCTGTCGAATTTGATTTGAAAACTGAAAACTGTAAATAAAAAAATTTGATTTTGATAATTTTTATTTAATTTTGATTTTTTATAGTTAATTTTCGTTAATTTGTAGTTGATTTATTTTTAGTAAACCTGCTATTAAAAATAACTATTTTTGTGCTTGTTGATTCGCAAAATAATCGAACAAACAAAGTATTCGTTTTTAGTAATTTATAGTTCATGGAAATAGTTGATTTCAAAAATTTTATAGTTGTTTTTGAAAATTTTATAGTCAATTTTCTAGGCGGTTTCTTACTTATCGACACTCGTTGCGGGTACAAATATAATACTCGTTTTTTTTCTCGTTAATTTGTTTTTTTCCTTCTTCTATAAACTTTGTTAATTAAATTGTTATTACATGTTTTTTTTTATACAGAGCTACGCGTCGATTTTGTACCGTAGGATTCCACCTGGTTTCTCGATCATCTTACGAGGAAAGGAAGTCGAATATCACGACATAGTTGATGATTTGATTCACCCTCAAAAGCATGTTTACAAGCCGGTAGCTTGTGCATCATCCAAAGATCCCAATGTAATTAAAAATATTAATTAATATTTTTTTACCACCCTCTAATCTTTCGTGCTATACGCAAAAACGGGCCCATAATTATTTAAGTAATTATATATTTTTTAATCTTATATTGTTGCAACAGATGTCTGCAGCTGTAACACTTGGATTTATTAAAGATGCAGGACATCATATTGATGTTCAAGGGTTCAATGTATATCATAAGAACAGACTTATTAGGGTTAGTTTTGTTTCTAACTTTCTACTCTCTTTATTTTTCTTTAATTTTTTCGTAATCAATATAATTTATTTTATTTTATTTTTGTAAAATCAGCCGTTTTGGAGGCTGTGGAACGCCTCTGGAAGTGACGGTCGAGGAGTCATAGGTATTATTTTTACGAGTATTTCGATTTACATTTGTTATATAAAATATAATCATGTGGATTTAAAAAAAACGATAATTACATCTTATATATTTCTCGCTTTACGTATTTTTTTAAGGTGTTTTGGAAGCGAATTTTGTCGAGCCGGCACACGATAAACAGGGATTTGAGCGCACAACTGCGCTTTCTAGACTCGAGGCTAGACTGATACATTTGCAGAAGACTTATTGGTTTGTTCTCCTTTTTTCAATTTATTTTTATTTTTCTTATAATCTAGTGAATATATATAATTTACTGATTTGGAAAAAAAATATATAATTTATTTAACAGGTCTACAAATTGCCACCTGATTGGTTACGCTCAAAGGCGTCACTCAAAGAAGCCCGTTTCCCCCGAGAAAGAAGAAGCATCACCGCCTAATGCTGACGATAAGTCGAACTCCACACATAATACAACGTCGGCCCCGAAATCGAACGGCAAAAAGGGCCAAAAATTATCGCCTGTTGTTAGAGAGAGAAATCGGTTTGAGGCACAGCCAGCTGTAAATCATAACACCTCGTCTTCTTCTTCTCCATTACGAGTGGCGCCCGAATCAATGTTTCCAGCACAAGATGCTCAGCCTTCGAACATGCTTGTCAAGGTAATAAACGAAATCGTGTTTTTTGGTTTAATTTTTCAGCTTCTCATGCATTTACTAATTATCTTAATTATTTTTCGGTATGTGAAAAAAAAATAGATAGAAGATGTCAACAAAGCTGGACCTACACCACCGTTTTCTTCACTTACTGAAATGGTTCTTAAGTTGATGGACGAGAATCGAAACTTGAGAAATAGGTATAGTAACTAAACTACTAATGCAATAGGAATCTATATCGGCGTTTTTTTTTTTTTAATAATATATTTTGAGCCCTTGATTTTGTATTTGCAGTTTGACGAATGCATTGCATGATTTGCAAAATGAAGAGGACAAGAACACGGCGCTGAAAAACCAGGTAATTAATTTGATTTTTATCGTGAGATAATGTAATATCTCAATTACACGAGTGGTTTATCGTTTCTTTTCTTTTCAATCTATATATCGAGAGGTGATGATGTAAATATTCTCCGTTTTCAGCTTCAAGATGCAACGGATATTATGCAACAAATGGATCAAGAACAAGAAAAGTTTGTGACTTCTTTTGAAGAAGAAAGAAATCGACGAGAACAAGCGCAACAACATATGCAAAGAAGATTAAAGGTGTGTGTGTGTGTGTATATATATAGCGACAATGTCGATTATCGATGTTTATTTGTGCTCTTGTTAATTCTTTTTTGTTTTCTTCTTTTTGCAGGAGGCTACTGAAACTATTGAAGGATTACTGAGAAAAGTAAAGATGTTGGAGGCCCAGGGCCGGTTTTGACGACAAGCTCCACATGCTATTACTAACGACCCTAATTTAAAAACGTCTTGAATTTTATTGCTATGAACTTACATATATACGTCTTGCGATGCACGGAGGTGTATGCTTATATTTCTAATTCACAACTATCCGAAAATATGTACATACATATATGTATTCAGATGACAAATATAAAGCTTGAATTTTTTCGCTTCTTACTACTAATTCTTATGCAATAGTTTTATATGAATATTGTTACAAGTGCGAAATTAAATTGCGTGACAACAAACACAAAATTCTTTTGTCTTTGATATGAACTGTTGCATCTACATTAATGACTTTTGTATATAATTTATTTATACAATAGAGAATTTAGGAAATTGGCTAGACACCCCTTATTTTGGACTTATATACAGTGGAGATTCTAGTTAGTAGATGAATATATGCACACGTCCTTTGACCAAAAAAATAATATAAATAAAATAAAATAATAAGTATATACACATAAACACCCTCAATTAATAAGAAAACAAATCTTATATATCACTCTCTCTCCCTCTTTCAATCTCACCTTTCTCTCACCCTATATCTAATCCCTCGTCTCTCTCTTTTAATACACCTCTGTCTTTCTCATGCTTTTCTTTTTCTTTTTCTTTATTTGTTTTATAAAGAAATATTATAGAGAAGAAAAACAAAGATCTTTTTAGATTATAAGACGATTTCTTGGTGAAAGAATCAAAAATGACAACAAACATCCCCTCCCCCTCCAAAAAAAAAAAATTCAGAAATCGAAAACCCTAGTTAAAATTCGTATCGTGTCTTCCGTATGTAGAACCTTCCCATCATTTGTTGTTAGCAATTTCCGTTTGCAGGCTGGTTTAACTTCGTTTGTTTTATGAATTGCATTTGGTGTTGAGATTCGACTCCTCTAGTTTACAATTTGCAATGTATGTCTTAAGTTGCATTTTTGTTGTTTGCAACATGTTCCATAAACAATTTTTTTTGTTGATATTTTTAATGATGCTGATTTTTTTTTTAAATTTGTTGTTTACATTTGGTGAAGTCATAGGTAGTTTATTGCTTGCATTTAAATAATGCAAGTTCTGCTGATTGTTTTTCTTCAGTTTGCTATTTGCATTTGGCTAAGTCATATGTACTTTTTTGCTTGCAATTCAATAATGCAAATTCTGGATTTTTTTTCTTCATTTTGCTATTTGTATTTGGCGAAATTATAGGTATTTTATTGTTTGCAATTCAATAATGCAAATTCTAATTTTCAGTTTGCTATTTGCAGTTCACGGAGTCATAGGCATCAATTTGCTATTTGCAGTTCACGGAGTCATAGGCAGTGGCACGGCGACGGGCGTTTTTAGAGTATGAATTTGTACAATAACTAGTAATTTTTTTTATGAATTAATTTAATTTTTTAGTTAATATTTGGAACACAGATGTTTGAGAATTTGTTTTGATAGAGAGATTTTTGGGAGATTTGATTTGATTTGACTAAGGATATTTTTGGCACAATAAATAGTATTAATTTATTAAAGCATGAAGATTTTAACTTGGATTTAGACACATAAATTATATGGTCTATTAGTAAAACCTAGGGATAGCAACGAGTCGGTTCTGGGCCGAGTTTGCCTAAAACCAAGACCCCACCCATGAAAAATATATAAACCTCAGACCCGCCCCATCCCGTTTTACCTTAGACCCAGACCCGCTCCAACTCAAACCCTAATCAAACGGTTCTGACCCGCCAGAGCCGCTAGACCCGTTAACATACAAAAAATTTAATATTTTTTAACTTTCATAACATTTTGCTTGTATATTTTTACGAAATAATCTCAATACTAAAATACAATATTTTAAAAAATCTCCACAAGTAATATAACACGAACAACCTCAAGGACGTGCTCGTGGTGCAGCTCCGCTTCTTCACCTGCTAGGGTTTCTTCCGCTCTTGAGCCGGAGATGGTTTGGACGAGATCTGCCCATACGAGGACAAGCGGTGTGGCGGCGGCGACGGAGATGAAACAAAACCAACCGACACTTCTCAGGTAGGGAGGCATGAAACACCGTTTTAGGCTTCCATAGCGGCGATCTAACGTGGCAGAGTGGTAATTAGCGGTTGATGTAGGGGATTTGTGTCCATTCTTTACCTGATAGTGATTAACATGTAGAAGTTGGGGAGCGGTTGAGACGGGGACACTGGAACAAATCACCCTCACAACCTCCGGATCCAACCTATCGTCGGTGGAGTTCCGGTCCTTTCTCGACGGATCCGCGACTATAATAACCAGAAGCGGCAACGAGTTATAAATGATTATAGTAATTTATCAGAAATTGAGATTTTCTATTTTATAGGTTATTTAGATAAATAATAGCAGTTTTCATTTTTTATAATTAGTTTCAATAATTCTATAGTTGATTTTGATAATTTTTATTTAATTTTGATTTTTTATAGTTAATTTTCGTTAATTTGTAGTTGATTTATTTTTAGTAAACCTGCTATTAAAAATAACTATTTTTGTGCTTGTTGATTCGCAAAATAATCGAACAAACAAAGTATTCGTTTTTAGTAATTTATAGTTCATGGAAATAGTTGATTTCAAAAATTTTATAGTTGTTTTTGAAAATTTTATAGTCGATCTGAAAACTTAAAACTGTAAATAAAAAAAATTAAAATTGGAAAAAAAAAATTTGAAAATATTTTTTTAAATATATTGATCGGAGAGAAAACTTTCTTGATGATAAATTTTGAGGGAGTCTTCGATATTTCCGTATTGTTTCTTAATTCGTTTGGCTGAAAATTTTAGAAAATCATCTGTGCGTTGTTATTTCCATAGATTTTGCCTCTCGTCGGGTTTATGATAAGGTATCTCAGTTTAAATTGATCCTACAAACTTATGGGAGATTTATTTGACTTGGTTTGATTCAATTTGACAGGTGATATTATAACACTTCAAATTAGTTTGATTTTTTAATGATTTAATGCAAGATATTTGATTTGACATGTGATATTATAACAGCGTATGCATCTCCACGCAGATATTTGATTTGTTTGACTATAAACGCAATGAAGTGATCGAATTTGGAGAATTCATCCCGATCGTTAGGTGTATTTCACCCTAATGCACCAGTTTCTGACAAAGTTGCATGTATGAATTATTATATTTACTTTGTGACGACATTTTTTTTAACGACCTGCATAAATGGCTTTTTATTTTATTTTCGTCTCTAACTAAGTATTGGTTTTGGCAGTTGCATTTAGACTCTACGATTTAAGGAACACATGGTACATTGAGAGGGAAGAGGTAAGCAAATATTTCAGTTAAATCTTAATACCTCTGTGAAACTGCATTAGCCGTTTTTCTTTTGAAGTAAAAATAAAATAAAAAATTCAACTCAAAATTTTTGGCAGTTGAGAGAGATCGTATTGGCACTATTACACGAATCATTGAGTTATGTAGCTACATTACGTAGCAACTTTCAATTTCTCTTTGTAGCCAAAGATCATTGTCGTTTTAAAAATTTCAAATCTTCAAATATTGATAGAATGGCAACAACATAGCATTTATGATGGGATGCTATAATTTTATGTGACATTTAATTGGCAATTTACTATATTTAAAGTTGTAATATCATTTGGGTTATTGGATGGCCAGGTTAGATTAACTGTTGAACTTGCGGAGCAATAGTGCGGGGAAATTTTTGTTGTTGTCTAGGTGAGTTTTGAGTTTGTGTATCTATTTTTATATTCTCATCCCCTTTGCTATCTCATAAGTTGAGTGATAAAAAGACAACTTTAATGTGATTAAAATAAGGGGTTCGTTTACTTTCTTCTGTATGTTTATGCGAATACACATTTTTGTTTTCCGTTTATATAGATTAATAATGATGTTTATGTGTGACTTGAGGTGTTAAATAAATCGTTACACACCTGTATATAATGATTATGATATTTTTTAATTTGGCTTATTTGTCTTGATCTTTAGTAGGATGTTCTTATAATTTTGATGTTTTATTATTCTTTTCTCAAGAGCGTACCTTCTATTTTTCGGTGCTCTCTTTTTGTTTTTTTGGTTTTCTTCTCAATAACGTAAAATCCCTCTCTTATCTTAAATTAGTGTGCACCAAGTGAGCTCTTCTTCCGACTGGAGGGTGACATTTGTTGAAGCTCCCTTTTTTGTTACACTGCAGGTTTTATTCAAATATGTGCTATTCGACTAGAAATTTGAAGTTGTTTGCTTTTGCAATAATTATGTCTTTGGCTTTGGCTGAGTTTCTCGGTTAAATCTTGAGTATCTATATTTCAGTTATTGTGTGGATGTTTATTGTTCATGTTCTGCTATGAAATCATGCAAAAACTAGAGATTTTAGAAATCATGGAATTTTTTTAGTTTTTATTATTTATAGGATTTCTTATTTTGGACGTTACTTCAGGTTAATCTGTGTTTACATATTTGTGTCACTTTGCCAAAAATCATATGCTCGATGTTTGGTCTGTTTCAATATTATTTTGCAATAATTAGTAAAAATACCATTAATCTTATTTTGTCTTCTACAGGTTAACCATGTACAAGTGTTCGATGCTTGAGGATAGAACAACATTATGAATCCATTAATTTCCATCAACATTTATATAGTGATGTTTATGTGTGAATTGAGGTGTTAAATAAACAGTTGTATATTTTGTATACAGTGTTTATGATGTTTTTTTTTAATTTAGCTTATTTTTCTTGATTTTGATGTTGGTCGAATAAAATTAACTTTGGTTTTTGCGTTTAGTCCTCATGTTGTTATAAATGATTATAGTAATTTATCAGAAATTGAGATTTTCTATTTTATAGGTTATTTAGATAAATAATAGTTGTTTTCAATTTTTATAATTAGTTTCAATAATTCTATAGTTGATTTTGATCATTTTTATTTAATTTTGATTTTTTATAGTTAATTTTCGTTCATTTGTAGTTGATTTATTTTTAGTAATCCTGCTATTAAAAATAACTATTTTTGTGATTGTTGATTCGCAAAATAATCGAACAAAAAAAG